TGCACAGCACTTACCCACTTGGGTAGCATTGGCTGTTTCTTTCTCTGCCTGCCCAACAGAATCATCCCCTTTGAAGGAGTGGACATTGCTGCTGCCTCAGCTGCCACTGGACCTCAGGGGCAGCTCATGCCCTCAAGTTGAGTTGAATTCCTTGGCACAACTTCATCTTAGGTCCCATAAAGCCCCTCTCTTGTTTTATTCATTCTCTTATATCTATCGCTCTCTCATTCCCTTCCTCTGCACAGGGAGCATGCTAATGGACCTTTTCTCCCCCCACTGTATATATGTTCTTGCAAAAGGGCTACTGTCTTTATGTATATTTAAATTTATGCCAATGGCAATGCTTTGGTTCTCATGTTGTTTCTTACTTTACAAACTCAGCATTGTTTTAAGGCCCATCCATATTGGTCTGTGTGCATTTACTCTCTTCTAGCTGCCGCATAGTTCTCCATGCTGTGAATCACTCTCAGTTTTCTTTCCATTCTCCCCGAGGTGGACACCTAGTTTGGCTCCAACAACCCTTGCCTGCCCGCTCCCGATCCCTGCCAAGTAACTCTGCAATGAACATCATGACATGCATGTCTTCTGGACCCGTGTCAATTTCTTTTGCATCTATACCTGGAAATGAAATTGCAGGTTGTAGGGGAGACGTACTGGGCTTCCCTGGTAGCTCAGCTTGTAAAGAATCCGCCTGCAATGCAGGAGACCCTGGTTTGATTCCTGGGTTGGAAAGATCCCCTGGAGAAGGGATAGGCTACTTACTCCAGTGTTCTTGGGCTTCCCTGGTGACTCAGGTGGTGAATAATCTGCCTGCAATGCAGGTGACCTCGGTTTGATTCCTGGGTTGGGAAGATCCCCTGGAAGAGGGCATGACAACCCACTCCAGTACTCTTGCTGGAGAATCCCCATGGACAGAGGAGCCAGGTGGGCTACAGTCCATGGGGCTGCAAAGAGTTGGACATGACAGAGCACCTAAGCACAGCACAGGGGAGATGTGCTATTAACTAAAACACTTCCACAGTAGCTTCTTTCTTCTACCCTGATGAACATCCCCACATGCCCACCCAACACCACCAGTCAACTTTATCCAGCTGTGTTTGACCTGGTGTAATAGATTGCATTAGTTCTCTGCTACCATGTAACATGTTACCACAAACTTAGTGGCTTAAAATAACATACATTTTTAATCTTGCATTTTCTGTGGGCCAGAAGCCTGGGCATGACTTTTCTGGGTCTTCTGCTTGAGCTGCAATCAAGATAATAGCCAAGCTGCATTCTCATCAGAGGCTTAACTAGAGAAAGACCTGCTTCCAGGCTGCCTCAGGTAGTGAGCAGAAATCATCAACTTGTGGTCACAGAAATCAAGGAAACTTGCTTCTTCAAGGTCAGCAGGAGAGAGAGTCTTTGACCTTTATTTCCCTCTTAAAAGAGCTCACCAGACTAGGTTCTATCCACCTAGGATAATCTCCCTGTTGATGAACTGAAAATCAACTGATTAGGGACTTGAATTAGATCAGCAAATTCCCTTCACCTTTTTCTTCCAGAGTAACCCAATCAGGGGTTGACAGTCCGTCACTTTCTTTGTTATATTCTATTAGTTAGAAGCAAGTTATGGGCCCTGACCATGCTCAAGGGAAGAGGCTCATAAAAGGGCTTGGGCACTGGTGCTTATCTTAGAATTCTGCCTACCACATAGGTATGGTGCGAGATATGTATTTCTTAAAATACTTATTTATTTGGCTGTGTCAGCTCTTAGTTGAGGCCTGCAGGATCTTTTTTTATAGAGAGGTACTCTTTATTTTTTAAATTTAATTAATTAATTTACGGTTGCCCTGGGTCTTTGTTGCTGCGTGCAGGCTTTCTCAAGCTGTGGTGAGCGGGGGCTGCTCTTTGTTGCGGTGCACGGGCTTCTCATTGCGGTGGCTTCTCTTGGTGCGGAGCACAGGCTCTGGGGTGTGTGGGCTTCAGTAGTTGCGGTACTTGGGCTTGTGAGCTGTGGCGCATGGGCTTAGCTGCTCCTTGGCATATGGGATCTTAATTCCTGGATCAGGGATCAAACCCATGTCCCCTGCATTAGTAGGCAAATTCTTAACCACTGGGCCATCAAGGAAGAATCTTCTCTCATGGCTCAGATGATAGAGAATCTGCCTGCAATGCAGGAGGCCCAGGTTTGATCTGTAGGTCAGGAAGACCCCCTGGAGAAGGGTGTGGCAACCCACTCTGGTATTCTTGCCTGGAGAATCCCATGGACAGAGGAGCCCCATGGGCTATACAGTCCAGGGGGTCAAAAAGAGTACAACTCCACTTAGAGGCTAAAACAACAACAAATTCTTTGTCCATTTATTTTTCTTGTTAATTTGCAGGAGTTCCTTGAATATTTAGCCTCCTGCAAATTAACAGGAAAAATGAATGGACAAAGGATTTGTTGTTGTTTTAGACTTTGCACGTGTATTTTCTGATTTTGTAACGTATCATTTGGAACAGATATTTTTAATTGTGACATAATAAATTCCTCCCTTTATTTTTCTTTATGGATTGTGCTTTGAAATTTTGTCTAAGAAATCCTTTCTTCCCTCTGGGTCTCAAAGATGTCTCCTTCATGTATTTTCTATCAATGCTATAATTTGTCTGTTCACACTGATTCTTTAATCCATCATCGTGTACGGGATAACATCATTTTTCTCTATAAGGTGAATCAGAATTTTCCCAATAAGAACAACTCTTTCTCCACTGGCTTGTGGTGCACTTCTTATCACATACAAAGCTCCCCTATAACCAGGGATCCAACTCTGAGTTCTCCATGGTGTTCCAGTGAGTTGTCCATTCTTTCACTGACACCATATTTGTTTTTCGTTTGTTTTTAAAATGATGTCACTGTCATATGTCTGAATGTCTGTGTAAGGCAGTTTCCTGCCCACCCCTGTTTTACTTAGACATCTAGAGACCTTTAATCTCTCCTCATAGATTTCAAAGCAAGTTTACACAGCCGGAATTTTCATTGCGATTATAGTGGAGTTAGAAATTAACTTAGGGAGAACTGACACAGTCATATATTGAACCACCCCTCCCAAGAGCATGAGCTGACTACTTGAGGGGGTGTCTTCACCTTGACTTTGTTCTCACCTAGCAATGAGCAGGCACTCAGTACTTTCATAAACAAATGCTAGGGAGGAAATCTCCAAGGGGAGATGAAGAGTGGGCCTGGAATGTTTCTCAGCACCACTCCCTCCATTGCTAGCCAAGTCTGAGATGACACACCTGGTGATTCCTACAGAGAGGGGCGAGAGCCCCTCTGCCCAGACGAATGCCAGCCTAAGTCCTCTTTTTTGGATGACATGCAACAGGAAAGCCCATCTAATTCAGGGTACACTGGCCCCCAATCACAGGGAGGGTCTTCATCCCTCTGGGTCCAGAGACTCAGTTACATGCAACAGGATGTTCTGGGTGATGCTGTCTGGCCTGAGCCTGGGGTGGGGCTCCCGAAGTCCAGTTCAGGTTGGGTGGGGCCAAGACCCAAGGAGCCTCTCTGTGTCTCCCAAGGCCCCAGTCAGCCAATCCGTCTGCACAGCAGCTGGCCCACAGGTCTCATGGCATGGGAGTTCCACGTTTTCTGTGCACTGCTTGATGAGGACACTGAATTCCCGGTATCCCAGCTAAAATCCAGGCCTGAGAAGTATGCTTCTTTTAAAATGTCCAAATTGCAGCAAACAACATGAACAAAAAACACTTCTTCCAAAGAATCAACTTGACTGAAGTGAGAAACTCTGCAAGAAGACAGACTTGGTCTCTACCATCATAATCCATGCAACTTTTGGATGTGAAGTATCTGTTTTGGGCTACTTCTGAGCATTAAATCTCCCTAAGAAGGAATGGTGGGGGCCTACTGACAGCTGCAAAACTCAACTGCATAGACAGATGGTGTTCCCAGAACAAAGGGATGTTAGAGTGGAGACAGGAGTCGGATATTTACCAAACAACCACACCAATAAGCACACCAGTCACAGGGCTAGCTGAAACTCAGGCACCTGGTGACTGCAGTATATTCCTAATTGTGGTCTAGCATTCTAACCAACAAAGGAAAGGACACCGAGTAGGCCTGACTTGTTTTTCATGATCCAAAACTGGCTTCTGGGGATTTCTTTTCTAAGTGTCTCTAATTTGGGATTTTTCTAGAGCCTTCACGTCAATCTGGCAGCATGTGTACCCTGGGAAGGGCTTCCCAAGCAGCTCAGTAATAACCTGCCTGTCAATGCTGGAGTGGCAGGAAACGCGGGTACGATCCCTGGGTTGGGAAGACCCCTTAGCGTAGGAAAAGAATCCGCTCCAGTATTCTTGCTGGGATAATCCCACGGACAGAGGACCCTCAGTCCATAGGCTCTCAAAGAGTCGCACACGACTCACCACGCACTCACGAACCCTGGGAACCTCTTTCATTAGAACCTGGCAGCCCACGCATCCCCATTCTTCAAGTACCCTGGGTCTCATGTACATCTCATGCACCTGCGAGTTCTGCCTGGGAAAGTGAGCAGCACATGACCAGACTAACACTCCACAGCCAGACGACCCGCCCCCCTCCCCACCCACAGGTAGCCCCGCCCACTCACACTCAGGGCCGCGAGGCCACGCAGCGTGCGCCGCGGCAGGGCGCCAGGGGCGGGGCTTCGGGCCCTGCACGTTTTCCAATTGGCTCTCAGAGATGCCTTTCAGGTGGTGCACAGAGGCTGGCGCGCACTTCCGGCTGCTGCTTTGGCGGGAGTTGGCGCCGGGTGTGAGGTAGGATCCGAGGGAGTTGCTCCCAGGCTGGGCTGGGTCGGGCCAGGCTCAAGGCCGCTCAGGGGCCTTCCTGCTTTGGGCGCCAACACAGAGGGCCTTTCTGGGGAGGCCCACTATGGGGTCCTTGGCCTGAAGGGCAGCCCCTCAGAGAGCCTAGGTAAGTGTGGTCCTCGGCTTCTCGTCACCCTGGACGCAGAGCCAGTGTTTCAGGAGGCCTTCTTTCCGTCTTAGGGCAGCTCGGGGACGCTTGCCGTGGGTCTCTGAGGGGCTGGGTTAAGTCCCCTGTCCCCCAACTCCAGGTGCGGGCTGCAGGGTGAAGAGGTCATGTTCAGCCCGTGGTTCTTTGTAGGGAACAGGCATACCAGACAGGGGAACGGGTTTGGATGCGATCTCTTGATCAGGGACGCGAACTCAGATCCGCACAGGGGCCGGGCATCAGGTGTGACTGAGGTGGCGGTGGACGGGAGGGCGTGTGCGGCCGGGCGAAGGGGCATGGGGACAGTGGCGCTGGGCTCTGGTCAGCCGAGGCCCTGTGGCGTGCGTACCAGAGACGCCAGGTCGCTGGTTTGTGTTTTTTTTTTAACAACAGCCGCTGGAGACGTTTTTTTTTTTTTTTCTTCTTTCTTTCTTTGTTTTGTTGTTGTTTTAAAGTAACAAGCTCTTTAGCTTTTTGAAAATATTTATTTATTTTTAATTGATTTGTGATTGACAAGCTCTCTAGTTTTAAATGTTGAGGTTAATCCATCAAGTTGTAGAAGATTGCAGGGCCAAAGAAAGTATATCTGTGAACTGCATTTGGCCCTCTGGTGGCCAGTTTGCCACCTCTGCTGCCGGTGTCCTGTGGGGAGGGGCGTCCAGGCAGGAGTTGCAGACTGACAGAGAAGTTCCCCATTTGGGGGGCTGGGGTGCTAGAAAGATCTATCCCGGAACTGAGCCCTGGATTGTGTGAGCTGAGTAGCTGACTTGGTTGGTGACTGGGAGTTACCCCTTGCCTTGTCTTATCATATCTTTCCCTTCCTCTCACCCTACTCTGTCCCTGTAGCATTAGCCCAGATCTGGTGGGGTTAGGTTGGAGAGTGGGGGTGTTCTGAATCTGGGGAGCGGACACCCTCCTTCCAAGCAGGCAGGACTCCAGACTGGAGCCTGGTCTTGGGGACTTCCTGTGCCAGGTGTCAGTGAATTGGGCTGGGAGAACATTTTCAAAGGAGGAGGTACGTTTTGGATGAGTCTACCAGAGCTGTTCACTGGGGAATTGTGATCCTGGTACCGTTTGGTCTCAGGTTCTAAACTGCTAACTGAGAAGAAGAGGAGAGGTGCAGAGGATTTCTGGGAGAGGAAGTTACAGTCAGTTAACTAGCATCTCCTGGGTCCCTCCTCTGGGCATACAATGTTGAGTGCTTTGTAGCTCTTGTCCTCAGGATACTTTCAGATGATGTGGGCTAACGCGGGAGGAGGCTTCTTGCCTGGCAGGCTTGGGCTGGGGGAACCAAGGAAAGGGAGGAAAAACCTAGAAGGTGATGCAGAAGCATCACAGACTTAGAGCCATGGACTTAGAATTTGGGGAGGTGATGGGAAGGAAGAAGGCATTCCCAGGTAGGAGTAGGAACTGTGTAGTGAGGATAGAGATGATAGCAATAATTGGATCAGCCTATCCATCAGGGACATGGAGAGAGATCAGGGGAGAAGGGTTTTTAGGGCCCAGTTTCTGGACTAGGAGGGGTTCGGTGCTGTCTTATGGAAGATAGATGTTATATTGTGGTAGAATATTGCGGAGGAGGCTGAGGCGATACCAAGTGGGGTCTTCTGTAGAGAGTGCTATGTAAGAGGACACCAGTTGTGGAAAAGTGTCATATCCCCAGGTCTGTGTGGCATTTCTTTTGAGTTTTGACCTAGAGAATGGTCACCCATCCAGTACCCTCGGCCCTCATTCTTGTAATGATTGAAAGGAAAGGGGCTGTCTTCTGGTGCTGAGGGGAAGAGCAGCTGAGCGGGCCCTGGTGGCCTTGGGACAGTGGTTCTGTTCCTATTTGGCAGTCTCATGCCTCCTTCCTGGTGCACAGAAAGTGTCAGAGTCTCTAGTACAGCCCCATCTGTGCTGTGAGATGGCAGAGGGGATATCAATGATGAGACAGCCCATCTTCTTAGTGCTAGCCTGAGGGAGCCCTGATCTGGACACTGTGAGATTTTTTGAGGGTAGCTGGCTGCTTGGTGGGATCAGTTGGGTATTGAGGGGAAAGGCTTTGATCTGAGCCAGCCCCCAGATTCCAGCCCTGGATCAAACGACTGTTGGCTTGCATGTTGTTTGTCTGTTTTGGGGTGGGGGCGTGGGGGTCACTCCAGTAACCTCTGGTTATGGCCCAGATTCCAGTACCTCCTCCATCCTGTTTCCTCTTCCCAGGTCAGGTTCTTCTGGAGAGAGAGGAGGGGCGCAGAGGTGGCTGGTTCCCAGATGCTGTAGACCCCCATGAACACCATGGCAGAAGCTGGACTCCAAACTCAGCAGAGAAGCAGCCAGGATGGTCGGGAGGTAGCACTCCCATTCCCAGAACACTCTCTACCCTCCTGCCTCCCGTCCTGTGCCCCTCACTCCTGGAGCCCACCTCCCTCTGTCAAGGACTTTGAGTCCTCTCATCTCTCCCTGTGACCCTTTTCCAGACCAGCCTGTGGTCCTCAGGCTTTGGGATGAAGCTGGAGGCTGTCACCCCATTCTTGGGGAAATACCGCCCCTTTGTGGGTCGCTGCTGCCAGACCTGTACCCCTAAGAGCTGGGTAAGTGACGGTCAAGCCAGGCCCTATCTTGGGAAGCTTGGTTCTGGGAGCCACAGCTGCCTCAGCCCTGGGAAGCAGCTTCCTTTATTCTTCCAAGCCCAGCCCTTCCCTGCGCCCGTTGTCTTTCAGGGGAATGGGTGCACTAGTGTTTGTTGGTTGTTGGTTTGGGCCTGGCTCCTGGCTTCTGGCTCCCAGGCCTGGGAGAGTTGGGTGGGGAGGTACAGAGGGGTCTGAGATGCCAGAGGGCTGGGGTCTGAGCATGCCTGCACTCAGAGCGGAGGGCCTAGAGACACTGTCCACTCAGAGTCAGCGAGTACTTTGCACATGCTTGGGGGGTCTCTGTATGTCCATGCTGTGTGCTGGTGCTGATGGGACTCAGTGTTCATGTGGAGATCCAGGCTACATGTTCCCTGCTGTTGGTGAGAGAACTTCTCAGAAATTATATGCTACTCTCCAAGAGGGTGATTCTGTAGAGGATGCAGCCCTTTCCTTTTGACCATGGAGCCCTCTCTCCTAACTGAACTTCAGGATCTGAGGTCAGACATCTTTTGGGAACTGCAGTGCTATAATCCATCTCTCAGTAGACTGTATAGTCCATCAGGGAAAGGCTGCAGAAGACAGAGCAGGAGCTTTCCTTTACTGGTTTGCAAAGGCCCCCCAAAGAAGGAAATGGCAACCCACTCCAGTATTCTTGCCTGGAGAAGCCCATGGACGGAGGAGCCTGGTGGGCTACAGTCCACAGGGTCGCAAAGAGTTGGACACAACTGAGCGACTTCACTTTAAAGGCCCCCCAAGGACTTGCTCTCTGCCCCTTTCCGGCAGGAGTCCCTCTTTCACAGAAGCATAATGGACCTCGGCTTCTGCAATGTGATACTAGTGAAGGAGGACAACACCAGGTAGTCAGAGCTGGGAGTGGGGTGGGGTGGTGGGCAGGGCCCTTGGGTACAGGGCTGCTGGGGCCCTGCTTTGTGGTATCATTTTCTTCTTTTGATGGGACAAGAATGGACTGTACCCTCTGCTCCAAACCCATGGGTGGGGACAGGCAGGCTTGGAGTTTTCCTGCAGCTCCTTTTGGGAGCTTTCAAGTCCTGAACCTGTACCCTGTTTCCTGGGGAGAGGGTATAGGAATGGGCCACAGGTGGGCAGGTGCTTCCTATTCCTGCTCCATGATAAGCCAAGCTCAGGTGTTTCCAGTCCACGGGACTAGGATGTGATCCCTTCCTGATGGAATACCCTCAGTGGGCCCTAGTTCGGGGGCTCTCTGAGACATCTACCCCGTGCTCTGGGGTTTGTGCCCAGGTTTCGGGGCTGGCTGGTTCGGAGGCTCTGCTATTTCTTGTGGTCACTGGAGCAGCACATACCACCCTGCCAGGATGCCTCACAGAAGATCATGGAAAGCACTGGGTGAGGAGGCAGGGACTGGGATCTGGTTGGTACTTCTGGGATCCTTAAAGGGATGACAAAGGCTCTAGGCGGGGCTGGTTGAAAGGACTGGTTTCTAGAGTGTAAGTGTGGTCAGGGACCCTTTTTTAAAGATGGAGGGTGAAGACTGGAGGCTGTGCCCTGGGGACTATGGGGCTGAGGGGAGTGACCTTAGGCCTGCTTCAGCCTCACACCGCAACCACCACCCCTACCACCCACCACAGGGTGCGGAACGTCATCTCAGGGAGGGCTCCAGGAGGGGCTGGGGAAGGCCCGGTGCCCAGCCACGTGAAGAAAGAGGTACAGCGCATCTTGGGCCACATCCAGGCCCCACCCCTCTCCTTCCTGCTCAGGTAACTCTGCCGAAGGGCGCCCTGGGCTGGGGCCTCTGCCCTTGGGGAGAGAGCATTGACTGGACTTGGGGAAAGACTAGACTCCCCTCCTGGGGGAGCTGGGTGGTATATTTACCAGACAGCCTGAGGGAGCCCTGATCTGGACACTAAGACTTTGGAAAACAGCTGGCTCCTTCAGGGGACCAGTTGGGTAAGGGGGAGGGGCTTTGATCTGAACCAGCTCCCAGATTCCAGTCCAGGTTCTCACCACTGCTGGCCTGCTGTTGTATCTGTCCTGAGAAGGTGGGGGCTTAGGGGGATCATCTCAGGAAGCCCTGGTTGTGACCTGGACTTCAGTGCCTCCTCTATCCTTCCACTTTTCCCCAAGTCAGGCTCCTGTGGAGAGAGGAGATGGGTAGTCTCCCATCTTGTAGGCCTGCCCACTCGCTCACACATACCTGCCACTGTCACCACCTGCTTCCTCCCACATGTGTCCTGCACAGGTTGGAGCTCCTCTTAGATGCAGAGCAAGCTTCTGGGGAAGTGGAGATGTGCACATGCTTGCAAGAAGGGCAGAACAAGGGCTAGGATTGAGAATACCTGAAGGCGGGGAAGAGACCTATAAGCCGGCACAGAAGGGGGAATTGAGCCAGCCTTGGGGAAGTGAGGATGTCAGGGAACAGTTCTACCAGAGGGAACAGCATGAACTGCGGCTACAGGAAAGGCCAGGTTTGCTCAAGAAGCTGATGTGGTTGGAAGCTGGCAAGTGAGGGAGTGAGTTGCTGGAAACAAAAGCGAGAAGTAGAAGGGGGCAGATATGCAGAGTGGTATACAAGAAGTTTGGATTTGATTTCTAAGTGCAATGAAAACCAATGGAAAGGTTTTAGACAGAGAATGACAACAAGATTAATTGAGGTCAAGAATAGAGAATAGGTCCTCTGGGGAGGCTGGTTGGTTAGTCCAGGTGAGAT